TCCCGATCCGAATCGCCGATTTACCGATCCGGATGGGTTGTTGGAGTGCCCGATCAGGGGTACCATCCATTTTTTAACCCACTGATTCACGATAAACATGAGAGAAAGGTCACGCATCCACCACAGAATTCACTTCACGATAAACATGAGAGAAAGAATCCGATATGAAGGAAAACAAGTCCATAATTCGTAATCATAAAAGCCGCAGTTCCCATAGGACACATTGTTCCTTATTACACCACCTAATCACATTCAGGGAATCCCTTTCTAACCAGCAGTTGTTGCCACAATTTCTATCAATAAGAATCTTCAAACCATGGAGTAGCGCACTAAGCTCAGCAAAATTTGCGGTTACAAATAGTTCTTTCTTTGATGCCTATTTAGAACAATATATGATCCACCCAAGTTAAAACACTTTGCCCTTCTTTCTCCTTTGTCATTACAATAATGACAACTTTTTTTTTTTATTCATTTATTGAAATAACAGTTTGAGCCAATATTTGGACAAATGGAATGAAGCATCATCAAAATTTCACCATAAAAGAATTATTGGTATGATGGGTGTAAGAAATGTTCCAAAGCTATATTCCAAATAATAAAAGGAGAATTCATTTGCATATCTTGGCAAGCAACAAATGATAAGCTAACCAAAAAGTATTATCACTACCAGAATTGTTTTTTACCATATAAAATCTTTTCAAATATTTATATAACTAAATTACATTTTTAAGAACAATTTTGTCACAGATATGTTTATCGAAGATGGGGAATATTCTTCCTTGAGAATCACAATTTTTAACAAGATATAGAGCAACTAACAGACATTTCTATAGATTAAGTTCAACAGATTGTGGAGGAGGTATGCTATATTCTATTTCCCCCCTTTTTTCCGGATACAAATTTAATTTTACCCTTTTCTCAATTTATGATCCCTAACTATAACATGTTATTAAACTACAGGGAGAAAGAGGACACAATAAAAAACTTTATCAACATATTGAAAAAATAGAGCGTGGTATGTGTTCTAAAAATTTGTATGGGATTATGAGAAGCAAGTACACAGCAACATCAAAACGTCTTACAGTTAAATTTACCATTAAGGAAAGCACTACATAAACTAATGTTTACCGTTGACATATTGATCTCTCTCCCGCTATATATATACATATGGAAAAAGTTTGGGTGAGCCCACTAGCTCACAAGAAAATATAAACCCAACATCCCATATTGAATCCAAATCATTGGAAATTTGGAGCTTGTATACATAAAAAATAGGTAAGTATTCGAAAAATTTCAAAAAAATAGTTTACATAAAATAAATCCACCACAATACCCCCAAAATTTTTTGGGAAAGGTTTCTATGTTTCCCCTATAGCATATAAGTTTTGTCCACCCCCTACCATCCAGCCGTCCAATTTTGATCAAGAGAGTCACTCGTTGTTTGATCTTAGATCCGACGTCATTTTTTTTATACAAATTATATAAATATGAAATTTAGTACGTGTCATCTTCTCATTGGGGCGCACCTATAAAAAATATTAAAAATAATTTTTCGATAAAATATAATGATAAAAATACCCTTTAAAAATTTCAAGGGTATTTTGATCATTTTATTTCACTGAAAATATTTTCTTAGTATTTTTCACTAGTGCGAATTTAATAGAGGGATGGACCTCCAAAATTTGGTGTCAAAATAATTTATAGAAAAATAATTAAAAATAAAATAGTGTATAGACATGACATTGTGATTGGAGCAATCTTAGCCCTCCATTCAGAATGGACGGTTGGATAAGGGGGAAGATAGAACTTCTATGTTGTAGGGGAAGCATAGAAAGCTTGCCTATATATATATATATATATATATATATATATAAAAGCTGGGGTTAGCACACTAGCTCATATGAACATATAAGCCCAACGGCCCATATTGAATATGGGCCGATCTGACGATCACGGATGTCCGATAATGTTTGAATTTTATTTATTTTTCTACAAATTTAAATTACTTGAAATTTTAGGTGTGTGTTTTTCTCATCAAGTTGTACCTAATAAAAATGTAAAACAAATTATTCGCAAAAAACAAAATGACCAAAATACCTTCCGAAATTTTTCGGGGGAATTTTGGTTAATTTATTTCATGTAAAATATTTTTTTGATAACCATTGAGCTACTTCCGCGTTCAGTGGTCAATTATAATTAGTGTACAAAATGACTCTTCGCTTGGCTCGACTCTTTAAGCTACCTGGACCCGCAGTGTGACTTATAAAACAGCTCCGCCAGTAGCACTCACATAGCGAGTCCAGGCGGTCTAATCCGCTATAAGTAGAGGACCCGTCCTTAACAGATCTTTCAATGGCACAGCTAAAAGCGCTTTAGCTTTGCTCAATACCGGTATGCGACGCTCCCCGACCCGACCCCCGTTACCCCCTTACTGGGGTAACGGGGGTCGGGTCGGGTCGGGTAACGGGAATCACGGCAAAGAGAGTAAGGCGCTTTAGCAAATTAATGCAAGCGCTTTAGATTATTAACAGCCAAGCCAAAGCAGCTATAGCTGCGCTCTTTTGCGTACGCATATTTTTATAGAACACAACAGACGTAGTACTCGCCTACAACCACAAGAACTTTGTGGTTTTTTTTGAAGATTTATCTATTTTTTATAAACACACACCTAAAATTTAAATGATTTGGATATATAGAAAAAAAAAATCAATTATTACCGGACACAGTGATGCAACATATGCATCCTAATATGGGTGACAGATGCAGAGAATGGTATGAAAATATCATTATGGAAACAAGTTCGGTATTCATAGTTCACCATTACCAAAATAATAATACAGAAATAGCATACTCTAAATTCCAAATAAAAAAGGTTATATCTTATAGAGAATGAGGACTAGATCCTTTAAAACCAAAGGTCATCAATACGAAAGGATTTAAAATTAAATCTTATCACTGTTTCGAATACATAAAGGCTTGGGATGAAGTCTTTTCATACCAGAATACAAAAATTTCATATAATTGGTATATTCAGTTTAAAATAACTGAGTCAAATGAGTTCCCAAATTGGTTTAAAATTGGTTATCTATATGGGGATCAACAAATCAAATTCTACCAACATAACTACAAATTTCATAGAGAAAATTCTTTGATTATAATAGTCAAAGTCTTAAAAGAGACTATAACAGTGATGATTGTGCAGGAATTGAATTTTCTTCAAAATAAAAAAAATTCACAGAGGGATCAGAACGACTCCATCTTTATCCAAGACACGTATCCTAGAAAAACGACAGTCAGTGTAGCCACTACCTGTTTTTCACTGTAGCCACTACCGACAGAATCTACTTTTCACTATAGAAGATAAGCATCTTTGAAAGTCACTGTAGCCACTACCGATAGAATCTTCTTTTCACTATAGAAGATAAGCATCTTTGAAAAAGCTGTCGGTGCGGATTTAAAAGGAGGAAGGCTCCTTTCATTTAGAGATCCGAAGTTTTCTGAGTTTTAAGTATTAAGTGGTGTGCTCTCTCTCTCTCTC